GTTTAGGAAATAACTACATTGACGCTGCATATGTCAGAGGTGGCAGGAATCTACAGCTTGGCTTTTTTTAAGCCGTTGTGTTAATTTTTTATTTGTTTTTGAGGGAAAGGAGGGCCTCAGCCCATGTATTGCATTACATAAAAGCGCATGGAAAAACACAGGAAATCGAAGCGACTCTTCTACAAATTATTCTAATTCCAACCATTTCTTAGCTGCAACGTATAACAAATGAGTAACACGAGACTAATTGGGGTGGGGGGTTTAGCAAATGGTTTGGGCTACATTGATTTCTTAACTATCATACATGAATTTCACTGCCCAATATTTGGTCAAATGAGGATCTAAATCAGTGACTCTCTATCTAAACTCTGAGCTTGAGAACCTATTAACTGAACATCCGGGTCTAAAAACCACAAATCAAATATACAAACTTACACTCGATGCCGAGCATTCAAGCTGGAAGGAAAACAAAGCAGATTACATAAATAACAACATATATATGCTTTATACAAAGACAACATATTCACATGAAAACTCAGTTTCTAAGCAACACATAATTTAGGGTCCAACTGCAAAAGTAGAAAAAGAGAACAAGGAGCTATTACTGAAGAAGATACTAGGAACAACAAATCCTAGATATGTTGCAACACACAACCACTCTTTATTCTTCATTATCTTCTTCCTCATCACCTCTAGCCTCCTCGTCACTTCCTAATGAATTCTCTCTATCTCTACCCGAGCTCGAGTTTGGATTTGGCTCTGATGGATGATCATCTTCCTCATCAGATTCCGACCATACCCGTCTCTTACGATTTGAAGGTGCACCCTTTTAAAAGTCAAGCAGACGAATTTTTGTCACCGAAATTAATTCTACATTTGACTCTCGAATCTTCATATTTCTAAAATTAGACCTCCAAATCTTCATACTTGTTTGAAATCGGGGTCTTATATGAAACAATTTAATGAATTTTGGGGGGTCTACTTTATAGGTACGAAGATTTGGGGATCTAATATAGAAGTAACAAAGATTTGGAATCTAATATAACAAAACCCATTCAGAAAATAAGAAACCCAAGAAGGTAGGGCTGAATTGTGCCCTGTAAACTAGATTGGGCATCCATGTTTCTAGGTTACAATGAAGTATATCATCACTTACCTATTTAATATATTTACAAAGAAAGAGAAATATATTTACGATATTTAAGATACGATAGGGCCAAGAAAGATAAGTAGGCTTAGAAGTTGGGAGAACATTATTGTAAGCAATTAAGAAGGATATGATAATTGCAAACTTCACGGAGGAGATAGCCCCTAACAGAACCAAAACGAAGAAATACACTCATGTAACACACCCAAAAAATTTGTACAAAGGCTAAGTCATTTGTTGTAAAATGCAAGAGGGAAAGATATTACCACGTCTTCTTCAGCATCGGAATCTTTAAGACCAGCAGCGACAAAATTATCTCGTGTTCTATCTTCTTCATCCTCCTGATCATTCATTTCTTCTTGCTCATCCTCCATTTCAGCTTCTTCTTCTTCTTGTTCTTGTTCAAACCGAGTCTTACTCTTCTTCTCCTTCCTTCTCCTTTTCCCACCCTTCTTCCTCCTCCTCCCACCATCTCCACTCTCATCATCTTCACCCTGAGTTCTTTCTTTCCGCTTAGTGCTTGGAATGCTAACGGACTTCCATTGTTCCTACAGAACATGAATGCCGAACAAGGATTGAGACCACCATGATGAATGTAAGAAACTTCTGAAATATGTACGCAGTTAAAGGCAAACATTCCATCTTCCATCAACTTAAAGCCATATCAGTGGTGTTGATGCAAGTTCAGATAATGCATATGCCAGAAAGATTCAAATCAAAGTACATAAAACCATAGGATAATGAGAAATACTTTCATGTTCTTTATGGTTATGTCATGCAAAGTTAGCAGGATACTGCTATAAGACTTTTTCTACATAAAACACTTTGCAAGAGAAGATATTGCATGTGTAGTAGGTAGACGAAAACCTGACCTTAACACGCTCAAAATGTCCCTCATGCTGCCTCAATTATTTTAGCTCATCTTCATGCTTTCTCCTTTCTGCCTGTATCAATATAAAAAAAAATTTGATAAATATGTGAAACCTGAAATAAAGGACAACTAGACTACGAAAAAAATGAACCGTAAAGGCAAAACTATGAATTAATGTTATGAGTTATAATTTTCTTGAAATTTCCTCTGTTCTTCAGCCTTTCGTCTAGCTTCCTCAGCCAAGCTAACCTGGCGAGCAAGCTCTAACCTCTGACGGTTTTGCTGCTCTTCACGCTCAGCTACTACGCAATGAATCTTAGCAGCATCAAGTAGGTGTTTACAATATTATACATGGGTCTCTATCTTCTTCTCGTCAAACCCATGAGTGTGGTAACTTGATGCTGCAGACAACTGACTAAATACACGAACTGCATTTTTCAACTCTGCAACAGTTGATCGCACCTAAAATTGTTAAAAAAAAAATTATAGTACAATGAATAATCAAGGAAATAATAATAACATAACTATACTTTTCGTATCTCAAAAAAGAAAAAGAAAATGTGCACAGATACAACCACAGAAGCAGCATAAGAAACCGCCTACCCACCCACCCATCTGTTCGCCGTCCATGACCAAAAAATGAAAAAAGAAAAGAAAGAGGATTCCTGGACATCCTGGGATACTGTTACAGAGACACATTGCAAAAAAAAAAGAAAAAAAAGAAGGAAAAAAAGAAAGAAAAGTAGAATATTACACGAGCACACGAAGCGTGTGTTGAGTGAAGGACTTCTGAATGCAGCAATGTGATTATAGAATCAATACACATGCCTTATTTGCTTTATTATATAGTTAGGGTTATATAACAAATCTCAGAGGAAATAATGTTTAGCAATCAGATGAAACTATGAATTCTATGATAATAAAAAGCTATCTAAAGAATAGAAGCAGATGACCTCATCTGCGGTTCTCTTCGGCTTTTGTAAGGTTGACATAGAAAACTTATGCAATGCAACTCCCATATCAAACTGGAGTGTATAATTTGAAGGTGCCAAATGAATAGCTCTGAGCAAGGATTTTTTACATTCTTGCCACTGTTCAGCCTCATAATGAGAACGGGCTAAATATAGAAGAATCTGTGTGTCCGTGTTGTGATAGAACTTTCGCAAGCAATTTTGGTACTGCAGAAAAGCAATAGTCACACTAAGTGATGAAACAAACTTTTAGAGGAAAAAGAATGAGATCATGTACTTGCCATTTTCACTGCCAAAGCGAAATGACCTTGAGCAAAATAAACATGAGCCAAATTTACCCACACATCCAGCATCTGAACAAAAACGCTTCCTGAGGCAGCTTCTTGAACCTAAATTTTAAAATTAAGACCGCCATAAATAAGTTAACGGCTACAGAAAATAACTTATAGATAACCAAACCTAACCTGTGTAAATATATCCTTTGAAACATCAAAGTGGCCTTTTTCAGCCAAGACAAGTCCAGCACCATTAGCAGCATACAGTTCCCAGGACGCAACACCAATATCTTTTGTTAGCCTCTTTGTTTTGATGATGTTTAACAAACAATTTATAACTAATGTCGTTTGTCTAGTGTTTGTGTTTTTGTATTTATTCTAGGCAAACAATGAGTTGGTGGATGGATAGAATTGCGCATTCATGATCATATCCAACGGAGGTTGGCAGAATTGTGGAGTGAAGCCTATGCAATTCAAATTGAAGATCCAAGTTCTAGCTTCATCTGCAAGTTTACCAAGAAGAGCTTATTGAAGATCAAGATCAAGCTTGGGTATATTTAGTTTAGGTTTATATTATGAGTGTTAATACTTTAAGCTCATATTAATCACACACACGTATTTGTTGATTTTATCAAAATATAGGTGTTTTTGATAAAATATTGTTTTATTAGTTTATAGACTTCAATATTAGTTTACACATCTTTCATTAAGTCTACAAAATTATTTTGTAAAGTTTCAAAATTTGGTTAAGCCAAAATGTCAAAATTCACATGTTTACATTTCTATATTTTGGACCTCCTTGCAAAATGATGATAGTTTACATTTGAGAAGTCCTTGTAGCATGTGTATTATCATGTCTACTATCTTTTCCCAAAGTTTTATATTTTTTGGAATTTATTTGATATTTTTAAACAGGGTTTTAAAATCAGCATTTCACTTTCAAACCTGTAAATTTTTTGGAATTTATTTGATATTTTTAAACAGGGTTTTAAAATCAGCATTTCACTTTCAAACCTGTAATATTATATATCTGTTTGCGGTTGACCCCCAAAGTTTCTAGAATTTTCTGAGTTTCGAAAGTGGCTCGCGGTCGACCGTGAGTTTTCCACGGTCAACCCCCGTACTGTCAAATCTGCTCTAACGGCTAGTTTCCAGAGCCGTTGTTGAGCTGGTTTTTTGGTCTTTTCTTGTACTGTCAAATCTGCTCTAACGGCTAGTTTCCAGAGCCGTTGTTGAGCTGGTTTTTTGGTCTTTTCTTAGCTTTCTCTTGGTTTTGGGGTTTCATAAAAATACCCCCTTTTACCTTAGTTTTCGATAGCAATCCAAGAGGTTTAACAAAGTTTTAATAAAGGGTTTAAGTTTGTTTAAAGTGTGTTTATAAGATTTTAAGCATTTGAGTGTTTCGGTTTTGTGAATCAATTCCACAAGAGCTTAAGGAGATCATCTATTGAAGTTTGATCTTCCAACTATTCTCCCTCCATCTCTTGATCTATTGAGAAGTTTTCTAAACTCTATTTCTAGCTTTTTTATATATTTAATTATCATTGTTATTAAGCTAGAATTATATTGAGTTTAGTTTTGATTTATATCTCATTGTTACACACACCCACATTGAGCTTATTGTATTTTCATATATAGTATATTTGGGTTGGTGAGAGTTGTAACAATTGAGTGTGAGCTTTCATTGTGTTCTCATCCATATTAGAGAACAATCATTTATTGTATTTGTATTTATTATGATATTCACTTTGTCATACACTTGTACACCGAGAGAAGTGTGTGGCGAGAGTCGGGAATCATCCCAAGAGGAGTGGCATCGGTTGACGAACCTAGGGAGAGGTTGTATCCGAGCACTTGAGGGAGACACGTCTAGTTCAACACTTGAGAGGGTGTAGAGTGGATTACAAGAGTGTGTGAGTTATAGAGTTTTCGGTAAACTAGAAAACGTAGTGTGAGGTGTAAACGTTATCCGGGTGAACGTAGAAAACCCAGTTGTGATAGTGAATTTCTCCCCGGGGGTGGGAAGCGGAGACGTAGGACGGAAGATCCGAACTCCTAGGTAAAATGGTTGCTAAAATTATCAGAAATAACTAAAATCAAGGAGGTTCAAAGCTTCAGCGAGAATGCCAGGTCTTATTTAGAAAGTATAGTTAGTTGCTTCAGCAAAGCTGATGCTTTGGAAGTAAAAAAGATTGACAAAGTAACTAACCACGATGTTAATGTAGTGGAATACTTCTTGAAACAGAAATGTCAATCCAATGCTGAGATTGCTGAGGTGAGTTTTTGATGTTCCTTGTTGTGGGTACTCTATGCTTCCTCTTTTTTTAACTATGACTAACTATGATTTCAAAGATTTCATTTGATGCTTAATATATGACATCAGATTCTACAAAAATTTTTTTTATGTACTGGAGTTTTTCCATTTTGCTTGTACATCAGAGGATATAAATAATTTAGCCCATGCATTAGCAGTGAAGGAGGCGTTCAACAGTGTCATATTTTCTGTGATGATTGAGTTGTTGAATGCAATATGCAAATTAACGAAGCAAAATGCTCATATCTCCATGTTGTCTCGCACTCATGGACAGGTATTTTCCGTTCTAGATGAGAGGCAACTCTTGTTATAACGGAATACCAACTTTTTGTTGATTAGATGTTATCTACAAAAACTTTAATAATATATAAGCATAATTGAAAATCTTAAATTTCCCTTTTTATTTGTGTTTACACATAGAAGAACATAGTTTATTGTATATATTGATTTAGTAAAAAGAATCAGAAGCTATTAGACTAAGAAAATGCAGAGAATGCTTCAAGGGAAAACAAAATTTTTTTTTCATTTCCATGAACTAATTTATTTAGCAATCCTAAATTCTTAATAAAATTTATCCCAAATGGAGAGGGGATGCAACTGACAAGAGCACGTTTAGAGAAGGATTAGAGAAGTGGGATTACTCAAAGAAAAACAAAGTACTCTTGGGTTTTAAAAGTTAAACTTAATCTAAGGTGCACAGGGTAATATTCCACTAAGAATTTTTCCCTAATGTCCTAGTGGTAGATTTTTTTTTGGTTGCAATAACTCAAAGATTTCTGGCTGGTCATTTTGGTGAATTTTTATTTTTACAAAAGTAAGCTTTTTTTGGGGGGGGCATATATAGAAATAATTAAATAATGATTACATGTTGAAACTTAGGAATTTTCTACATGGGGCTAATACATCATGTATAATTACTGGTTTGATAAAGATTATACTATCTATCTTCGTTCATATATGTTTGCAGGACATGTTCTACATACCTTTCTTCACGAGTTTTTAGCTTGATGCTATTAAATAAATTGAATGGAACATTTTCAATCTGAAGGATAAAAATAATATAATCATGTCTTCGTTTCTTATTTAGTCCTATCAGAAAATTTGTGAGAAGTTAAGTTGCTTAAATAGGTATGCCCAAGACTCAAGTGTAACACGACTAGTTGATTTTGGCAGTAGGTTGAGCCAAACATGTTACATTTAGTGGGTCCCACGGCTTGTACCGCACCAATAGGCCCAACGGCCCAGGCCGTGACAAATTGTATCATAGCAGTTACGAGTCGGAAGTGTGGAGCTAAGTGCTATGCGGGGCTAAGTGCTATATTGCGTGACTGCGGCGAGAGCCACCTCTAGAGTCCACATAACCTAGTGATACCGGGATGCGCCAATTGTCATGTCATGATGAGGACGTCGCTTATGTAAGGTGGGTTTTTGTGACACTCCTATTTAATCCAACATCAGGACATGAGTGAGGATTTAAGTGGCTTAAATTATTTAAGTGTAATATTGGTTAGTCGATTTTGGCAGTAGATTGAGCCAAACAACACATTACACTTGTTGGGTCCCACGGCTTGTACCGCACCAATGGGCCCGTCAGGCCAGGGCGTGACATGGCCAATATTAGAAGCGGACATATCCGAAGTTGACTGCTCAAAGCAGCTAAAATATCATATTGATAATTTTCATCGTTATGCTACAGGAATAAATGATTTGCTTTTGTAATAGGTTTATGTGTTTTAGTTCTGATATCTTCTAACTCCCTTTGTAGCCTGCTTCACCCACTACTTTGGGAATGGAGATGGCAAATTTTGCTTTCAGACTAAGTGAAGTAGGAAAGACCTTTACAGAAGTGCAAATATTGGGCAAGTGTGCTAGAGCTATTGGATACTACAATGCACACAAAGTTGCATATCCTAATATTGATTGGCCCACTATTGTTGTTGAGTTCGTGACCTCTTTTGGGTTAGGTTTCAACCCTTACGTGACACATGCATGTTTATTTACTTCTACTACTTTTCTCTTTGCATGGTTTTACCTATCTGATTCATTTCAGCTTGATGGAATTTTTTTGCGTAATTAAGTAGTGCATAGACGATTTTGATATGGTTTTTTCTTTGTGGATGACTTGGATATGTTTCATTAATGGGAGGAGTACTTTATTTACCTGTACTTTTTTGACACTGCTGCTTGTATTAATTGTCTGCTTGAACTAGTTTACTAGTAAACAGTCCTCGGGAAGATTTAGGCAACTATACAACTGTAAAAGTGTATAACTAATAGAGCCTCATGATTTTCTTTAATATGAGTTTTGCAATCGACTCAGGTGACTAAAATGTAGGGTTTTTTTTGCCATTTCACGCTTCAAGAGTGTACAAAAGGTGATTCAAATAGTAAGTAGATGCTATCATGTGCATGCTTGATAATAAGTAGATACACTTGCAGATCTATCTTGGAATTACAGTACAATTATCAATTAGCCTATTCTACGCCAACCCGTTAGTGCATAAATAATAATGGAATTGCAGCACCAGCTAATAATTTTGTTAAGTTTGTGTTGTCTAAAAGGTTACGTCAATGCAGCCTATGAATGGAATGGCACTTGACTTGCATGCATACTCTCTATCTGAGCTTGTTGCTTGCTTCGTACATAGATTGAGCCGGATGACTATATCGCAAAGCTTTTCAATGTAGTTGTTCAGTCTAATAACATCCTAACAGATTTTAATCGGGACATATGGAGCGATATTTCGTTAGGTTATTTTAAGAAGGTAACATTCCTATGCTTGACCACTATACCCCTAAAATATTAGGACCTATTTTAGCTCCCAAACTTCCAATTTTGAACTAAACGATTTCATGATAATTTTTCTTTCTAGATGATCAAGGCTGGGGAGATTGGATCTTCAACTATGCCTCATAAAGTTAATCCTATTGATTTTGAGAATAGTGAGGGCAACTTGTGTTTGGCTAATGCTATTTTATATGCTCTCAGATCGAAATTGCCCATCTCTCGTATGCAGGTGTGCATCATTTACTTCTCCATCTTTATTCATGGTTCTTGAGGAGTACCTAATGTGAAGTTCAGTGCTATATCACAGTTCAAAAAACACGTCTTAGTGTCTTATTCTGGTAAAGTTATACTATACTTATTGCATGTGTAGTCATTGACAGAGGGATTTGACCAATTCCACTGTTTTGAGGAATTTGGGTATTGGATCTGGGTATTCTCTCTTGGCATACAAAAGTGCACTACAAGGAATCTGGAAGCTTCAGGTTAGTAGTAAAATCTGTATGAGATGGTTATCACTAGAGAATTAGATATAAAGCTAGATGTGTTATTGGTAGGAAATGTGTCGCTGTCATCGTTCTTTGCTTCATGTGTGTTGTTTGTTCTGTTCTTACTTTAACTATTTGGGTTGGGCATATGTTGAATTTGAATTCGTCACTAATGCAAGATGCTAAATTCTATGAATTATGAGATCTTACAAATGTGGATCCATTTCAAGATGAATTCTTGTCTTGCTGTCAACATAATTTCTATCCAATGTACATCTATCTAATAATATATATGATTTTAAGGATGTTTTAGTTTTTTTCTATATAAGTATTTCTTTTCTAAAATTATACTAACCATTCCCCTCAAAAATATTGTATGAACTATGTCTTTTCTATCCTTTTCAATTTCCTTTAGATCTATTATTTGGGATCCATAACTATAATATCTGGCATGATTCTTTTGAAAAAAATCTGTCTCTACATTCGAGTAGTTGATGCGAAGAAAGATACATCTAAAAGTGGAAAAAGCTCCTTTCTTGCTCAATATGCTGCTGACGTATAAAGACAATCCTAATGTTAACATTTAATTAGCGGTGGCAAATGGGTCGGGTTGGGTCGGGTAAGGTCATAGTTGACCCAACCCATATAAGTGTGACCCGACCCGACTCGTTTAACAAATGAGTCATTGCAATCCGACCCGTTTATTAAACGAGTTACCCAACCCAACCCATATAACCTGAATAACCCATTTATCAAATCTCAGTTCAATATCGTGGATACTATATAGATCAGAATGAAATTCTTTTGACTCTTTCGACAACCATGAGTCAAAATATGTATCGTGGATACTATATAGATCAGAATGAAATTCTTTTGACTCTTTCGACAACCATGAGTCAAAATATGTGATATTGCTACATAGATTGTACAAGAGATTGACCTTTTAATAACAATCCTAATTAAGGAATAGGTTACCGCTTATTAAAAGCATTATAAACCACGGTCCTCGCCATTTTGGCCATCGCCTCACTCCGATGAACCCCCTAATCCCTCTGATCCTCACACGACATAAAAGTTAAAACCGGACCGAAACTGGGCTTTAGAAAAAAACCTGCGCACTCCCAAGCTGACCTCTGACCCTTCAACCCTGCAACATAGCTCCTCCTTGGATCCAGAGCTTTGATCTTGAACAGATCCCAGCAGCTCTCCCCCATCGAGGTGAAGTAGTTCCCCGACAGCGATAGGTTCTCCAGCTTCCCGCAGCTTGCCAGGTCGCAGAGCACGTCAGGCACCTATTTCCTCCCCTTCTCTGACATCCCCTTGTCCTCCTCCAATCATGTTCGTACAAGCAAAACCGCGATCGATCTCTACTATTGAAATGCTGGCTCGCTGTCGATGAGGGCCAAGACATGGCTGACCGCGCCGGAGATGCTGGACCTGGCGAGAAACTGGGGGTCGAAGGAAGAGGAGAAAGAGGAGAAGGAGGAGGATGAACACGACGAAGATGATCTTCATATTTGGAGTTTGCAACCTATTTAGAATTAAACGGGTCGGTATTGAGTTACACGGGTTAGTTCGGGTTAACCCTAATTTACCCATCTAACAAACAGGTCAGTTCGGGTTGACCCGTTTATGACTCGACACATATAACTCGACCCGTACCTAATATAAACAGGTTGGGTCAGGTCAGGTTGATGGGTCGAGTCATAATTTGCCACCCCTACATTTAATCCAATTTATTCTGAAACTTGCCCAAATTAGTTTGAAGTTTAAAGCTCATTATTTTAAAGTAATAATACTTTGATTGTACATTTTTGATACAATGCCATCAATTTGTCTCATTCCAAATTACATATTTAATAATGACATGAGTCATGAAATTACATTGCTTTGTAACTCTATTCCTTTCTTAATTAATTATTTCTTCTCAATTATGTGTAGGTAAATGAGTCTCGTCTCAATGAAGACCTGGACCAGGTGTGGGAGGTGCTTGCAGAACCACTACAAACAGTAAGTCCTGACAATGCACTGCACTTCCCTTTAGACTTTATTATGACTACTTTTGTATAATTTTTCTTTTTTCTGCTTTTGTTGGTTATATGATGTAATATCAAAGGTTTGTTGTATGTCGTATTATTTTTGAAGGTTTTATATAAGACATCTAATTCCACCTCCCCCAGTATTTTGACTATATGATGGGAAAGATGACAGTCCAAGAGAGGGGTATTTTCACGCGAAAACAAATAGAATATAATTACATTAAGTCTCAATGATGGTCTAGTTACAAACTATTATTCTAGCATTCCTTCTAAAGATGGAAGAGTATATAGACCTATTATTTTTAGCTAGTTAAATCTAAGCAAAAAATTCCCTTCCCCTTCCCCCAGTACAACCCCCCCAAAAAAGGTAATGTTTTAGGTAAACCGTTACCTATCTGTCTGAATTGACATGTGAAGTGACATTTTGCTCAATATCATTTCATAATGACGTGACAATCAACCTTTATATGCTTCCTGTTCTCATGAGACTTAGTCTGTACCATTGGCAATATACGCCAGAACCTAATTATTACGATGTATTTCCATAGCCTGAGGTAGAAATACACCTATCTCCTGGTGAAGGTATTTAATCAACATAATCCCTCAAGCAGCAAGAGACATAACTTGATAATCAACCTTAGCAATAAATCATAGCACGGTAGTCTGCTTCATCGTGAGATCACTATATTCCTCAAATAAAAGTACAATATCTGCCAACGAGACACTATCAAGAATATAATTTGCTCAATCAACATCAAAGTAACCAATAATATTAAAGAATAAAAGAGACCCTTGTTGCTGATGGACTCTCTCTTGTTTTCTTGCATTAGGTTATGCACAGATACAATGTCCCAGAGGCATATGAGAAGCTGAAGGATCTCACCAGAGGAAGAGTTGTCAGCAAGGAGAGAATTCAAAAGTTTACTAATTGCTTGCAATTGCCAGAAGAAGCAAAGAGCGTTCTCTTGAATTTGACTCCCCAGTCATACATTAGAGAAGTAGAGAAGTTGTCTAAGTCTATCGACGATCATGTGGATTTGGTTAATGGGTTCAGGCTTTTATAGTCGTTGAAACAAACGTTGAATGAACGAGGTGAAAATTTTACTAATTTAATTCTTCGTGGTTCATGTTACTTCCCCTTTGCATTTTCGTTATGAGCAATGGCAGTTGATACCACAAACCGTTTGTGTTTGTATTATTGTGTAAGCTTGCAAGGGTAAATTAACAAAAGGAAAACGAAATTGAATAAGCTTGTATCATTTTTGGGTGATCTTTAGACCAGTGCAATCAGTTTCATTTGGTTCTTTTACTTATGGCCTGGAGGAAGAAAATTGCAAGCAGGAGGCTTCAAATACTAGAAATGGATTCTGGAGAAGCAACACGGGTACGCTTCCATGTATTGCTAAGTTCATTGTATTCTCCTTGTGTCAATTGTATTTTGTATTCTCCTGGTACTTGTATTTGTGATCAACATACAGGAATCAGAATGCTTCGGCTGTTATATTGTAAGTCGGGGGATTTGATTATTGGATTTACGCCCCCATGCAGGTTTTTCCCCCTTGTGTCAATTGTCTCATTGATAGTTTGTTTTCATTTCAAATACTTGAAGTTTGTTTACCTCGACACTTATATTTATATTGATTTTTGGTAGCTACCCCTTTCGTAGGATGCAATCTTGTTTTTGCGATTTGAACAATATGCTTGTGTTCTTTTCTTTTGAAATAAAGTATTTGTGTACTTGAATCTGTAAATATCAACAAAACTGTGTGTGGTATACAGGTATTGGTGGGACGATTCTGCCTTAGTATTCTCTTTTTGTTCACAACATAGATTTCTTGTTTTTTACATATATAAATGTTGTTAGTTATTATCCTGTTCTACTCTCCCAATCTTTAACATCTGTATGGTGTTGAAACTACTAAAACAACTATCAAAATATCCGGTGGAAATTTTATGTGGCGTGATCTCGTCTATAAGAATTGAGATATGTGGTAAGGATTGAGATAATTAGACCATGTTTTTATCACATAAGTAAAGAGAATCCAGATCCGAAAAATACAATTGCTTCTCAAATTATATCAAAATATGCAAAATCAACACCTAAATATGCAAAAACAAAAATCACTTACAAAAATCACTCTAGTTCTTTCTCTAACGTGCCTCAAAAGAGTACAGTTTGCTTCGAACTCGAAGAGTAAATATTTGGCAAAACCTATTGACAGTAAAAAGTTTATTGTTCTGTTGAATTTCGTGATAGCTGTTATATCAAGTTTTTCTCATTACTACTTGAATTAACTTAAGTTTCATCAGCTTAATATTCTGTTCTTTTCTCAGAAATAGTGCCTATAGCTTGGGATCTCATGCAACTATTTTTATGATAAGTATGAAGAGTTTTGAGAAATGAAAAAAAAGAGAAAAAAAGGAAAAAAAAGAAAAGAAAATTGAGCTATTTGTATTGCAGTAAGCAAGCGGACATACAAAAAATAGCCTGATTATTTCTACAAGTAAAGTTTCTTTCACTTATAACGGAATGTACCACTACCACCCAAATACTGTTAGCGTCTTTAATATTTGATGAAAGTTAACAGTGGTGATTCTTAACATTACATTCGTCATCACATTTTGCTGACGTGACAATGATCTGACCCTGCCATGTTCAGCAAAAATATTAGTGAAATCACAAGTTCAACATACACGTTTGTATGAAACTTGCAACTAATTTTTGCTAACGTAGCAGCCATGTGATCTCCTCAACAATATTTTACAGAAATTTGCAAAAAGAACATAGATTGATGACATTGATAATATTTATGACTGTGGTTGACGACTTCTAAATATTAATGATTCGAAAGGACCAAAAAGATACTTGGCTAGCACTTGAGGGACCTACAACGAAGTTTTGCCAAACATCTATATGCATTATTAGATTATCCGTCATTTACCTTCCTTTTGAAGAAAATATCTGATGAACTGAACCTAACCTCAACATGAAAAGCGTATAAAATGAATCAAGGCGCTCGCTCCTTGCTCTCTCCGATTCCTTAAAAAAAGGCGGCTCCTTTTTCCTGCTCCACTAAACCCCGAACAAATTCCCCCCTTAAAAATCTCAGTTCAATATCATGGATTCTATATAGATCAAGATGAAATTCTTTTGACTCTTTCGACAATTACGAGTCAAAATAAGCAATACTGCTACACAGATTGTACAAGAGATTGACCCTTTTAATAAACAATCCTAATTAAGGATTAGGTTGCCGCTTATTCACAACATTATAAACCACGATCCCTGCATTTTTTGCTATCACCTCACTCCGACGAACCCCCCAATCCCTCTAATCCTCGCATGGCATAAAAGTCAAAACCGGACAGAACCTAGGCTTTAGAAAAAAAACCAACGCACTCCCAGGCTAACCTCTGACCCTTCAACCCTACAACTTAGTTCCTCCTCAGATCCAGAGCTCCGCTCTTGACCAGATCCCAGTAGCTCTCCCCCATCGAGGTGAAGTAGTTCCCCAATAGCGACAGGTTCTCTAGCTTCTCGCAGCTCGCCAGGTGGCAGAGCACGTCGGGCACCCATTTCCTCCCCTTCTCCAACCTCCCCTTATCCTCCTCCGATCTTGTCCGTACGAGCGGAACCACGACCGATCTTGACCACTGAAATGCTGGCTCGCTGTCGATGAGGGCCGAGACGTGGCCGACCGTACCGGAGAAGCTGGACCTGGCGGGAAACTGGGGGTCGAAGGAAGTGGAGAGAGAGGAGAAGGAGGAGGATGAAGATGACAAAGATGATCTTCATATTTGGAGTTTGCAACCTATTTAGAATTAAACGGGTCGGTATTGGGTTACACGGGTCAGTTCGGGTCAACCCTAATTTACCCATCTAATAAACGGGTCAGTTCGGGTTGACCCGTTTATGACTCGACCTATACCCAATATAAACGGGTCAGGTCGGATCGGGTTGATGGGTCGGGTCATAATTTACCACCACTACATTTAATCAAGTTTACTCTAAAACTTGCCCAAATTAGTTTGAAGTTTAAAGCTCATTATTTTAAAGTAATAATACTTTGATTGTACATTTTTTATACAGTGCCATCAATATGTCTCATTCCAAATTACATAGTTAATAATGACATGACTCATGAAATTACACTACTTTGTAACTCTCTTCGTTTCTTAATTCATTATTTCTTCTCCATCATGTGTAGGTAAATGAGTCTCGTCTCAATGAAGACCTGGACCAGGTGTGGGAGGTGCTTATAGAACCAATACAAACAATAAGTCCTGACAGTGCACTGCACTTCCCTTTAGACTGTTAGCGTCCATGGTTAAATCTGGATTAATACAGATATATAACAGCAAAAACCAAATAGAAAACTAAAGTGCAGTAATTTAAAATTTTCCAACTCAGCTGATGTGTGTTTGTAAAATGCTATGCTTAAAGCATTATTTAGCCTACTTCGGTGTAAGGATCCCAAGGCTAAATTGCTTCCAGGAACAACAGTCCAGTACTTTGGTGTGCAACGACCCAGTACTGTCAAGATCTCCTCGATCTATAAGGCAAAGTTCTCCTCGATCTATCAGGCAAAGATCTCCTCGATCTATAAGACAATGATCTCCTCGATCTATTTGGCAAAGATCTCCTCGATCTATCAGGCAAAGATCTCCTCGATCTATAAGACAAAGATCTCCTCCATCTATAAGACCTTCTCGGTTTAGGCACTGTTCCTACGAGCACTAGCTATTCTACAACATATATATCTGTATATATTGATTGTTATTTTTAGAATGAATTTTCCTTAAGGATTTAGGGTCTATTTATAGTGTTTGGGAAAATATTATGCACTAATAAAATAATAATATTTTACTATGCTCGTGGCACCCACGTCTTAAATTTTCTTTAATGGGGCCCATAACTTCTGACAAAAATTTGAAAACATGGGCTGCTGTAGCAGCCCATGTGATTGTTGAAAAAAAATATTCAACATAGACTTTATTATGACTGCTTTCGTATAATTTTTTTTTTGTGCTTTTGTTGGTTATATGATGTAATATCAAAGGTCTGCTTGTATGTTGTATTGTTTTTAAAAGTTTTATATAGGACATCTAATTCCACCTCCCCCAGCATTTTGACTATATGTTGGGAAAGATGACAGTCCAATAGAGGGGTATTTTCACTCGAAAACAAATAGAATATAATTACATTAAGTCTCAATAGGCTGTGATCCTCTCCTAATGAAAATCTCCTGAAATCTCCTAATAAGGTGATCCTAGCCTTTAATTTTCATCATGGCCTTTCATTTTCCCACCCATCCTTGTGGGTCCCACTCCCAATTCTTCACAAAACTCATTAGGAAATATTACATATTATGTGAGGATCCCAATTCCGTTTTTAGCAAGTTAAATCTAAGCAAAAAAATACCTTCCCCTTACTCCTCCCCCCCACCACCAAAAAAAGGTAATGTTTTAGGGAAACCGTTACCTATCTGTCTGAATTGACATGTGAAGTGACATTTTGCTCAATATCATTTCATAATGAAGTGACAATCAACCTTTATATGCTTCCTGTTCTCATGAGACTTAGTCTGTACCATTGGCAATATATGTAAGAACCTGATTATTACGATGTATTTCCTGTTCTCATGAGACTTAGTCTGTACCATTGGCAATATATGTAAGAACCTGATTATTACGATGTATTTCCATAGCCAGAGGTAGAAACACACCTATTTCCTGATGAAGGTATTCAATCAACACAACCCATCAAGCAGCGAAAGTCATAACTTGATAATCAACCTTAGTAATAAATCATGGCACGATAGTCTGCTTCATCGTGAGATCACCATATTCCTCCAATAAAAGTACAATATCTGCCAACGAGACACTATCAAGAGTATCATTTGCTCAATCAACATCAAAATAACCAATAATATTAAAGAATAAAAGAGACCCTTGTTGTTGATGGACTTTCTCTTGTTTTCTTCGAACTCGAAGAGTAAATATTTGGCAAAACCTGTTGACAGTAAAAAGTTTATTGTTCTGTTGAATTTTATGATAGCTGTTA